GGGCTCGAACTGCCAAATCAAAACCCCCTTTTGGGAGTGGCTCTTTGATTTCCTGGCAAATTGCCAGCGGGCGCTGCGGGACGAGCCTTCGCTCTTTCGATTTTTGCGCGAAGTTGTTTTTGCCCGGTTTCTTTGTGAAAACACTATAATTCGCACATTCCGAGCCCATTTTTGAAATCCTCACTCAATTTTAAATAGTTTGGGTGTTTTAATCATCAAATTTGGCCCAGAAACAGCCGAGAACGTGATTTCGAGGTGACAACAGGCAATTTCAAATTTGCGAGCTTCCCGGGCCCCGGGGTGTACAGAGGCCTCCGACGTTCAGGGCTCCGATTTCCGGGCCGTCACTCAATTTTTGGCATTTCGTAGCCCCTTTAAAGACTACCAGAACGATGGAACGCGCACTGTCACCCCGAGGGTGCTGCCCCCAAGAACGCGCAGAGAGGGTCGTCATTAGTGGTGTCCCGTATTGGGCAAAGCCCTCCGGGGTTTGGGGCGCCTCTGACTCCCTTCCCCACTTGGCCCTGTGGTATAGTGGCTAGCGCGTCGGACTGTGGAGCGAACCATCGCGGGTTCGACCCCCGCCCGGTGCGCAACTGTCTTGCTCTAAACGATATTTCACCGTTCTGACGGTCTTTAAGCGCGCCGCCGCTACCTTCCAGGCAAATCAGAAGTTGAAGAAAGCAAAGGTTTTGCGGGAAAGGTTACTCAAAGCGAGCTTTTACTCCCAATGTTTTTTTTTGGATTGGTTGAAGAAGTAGCTTGAAAATTCTTGGAGAACTTCAATATCGTAATAGTTTTTGTTGCAACGTGCATCTTACAACGAATTAAGAACATTAAGGAACGGCCTCTGCATCTAATTAACGGCTGCTTCCGGCGATTTTGCTTACAGAAATTGAGGCAAATAGGTCGCTAACAACCCCGAAAAATTGCAGAATTTAAGAAAATTGCTTATAACACAGCCGGTAGCAATGAAACAAGGTTTTGAAAATTGTTGCAAACTCGCCGTTTCAACGGCTTTCCAATTAGATAACTATGTTTCCAATCCGTAACTACGATACCGAAACCTTTGTGCTTTAGGGCTTTGAATAGAACTTAAAGACTTTTCCTGGAAGCGCTCGACGTAGGAAGGTTATTTTCGATTTCTACACTTTTAAACAGCTAAACTTTTGTTTATGATTTAATCAGTTTATTGAAAACATCACGCTGTTTTGACTATAAGTACAGGATCGCGCCGGACAAAACCATGAATTCAGTTTTTCTGGAATCCCCAAGAATATCCAAAAAAAAGCCATGGCCGTGCCTCGCTCGTCCCGTTAATTCATGGGTTGGATAAAAGTGCTGGTGTTTTCGGTTCTTTTCACCAGCGACGGCATTGGTGACTTCCGGGGTTGATAAATGGAGGTAACTTGAGAAACAGCATCCAGACTGCTGCCTATCATTTTGAGCAGATGACCTCGTAGGGTGCGATTGACAAGTATCGCAATCCACGCCTCGCTGATGGTTGACACGTCAGAGACGAGGTTCAGCTGGAAAGTAGCTGTAGGAATCGCTAGATAGTAAAATGGGTGCCTTAAATTACGCGTTTTTAGGCTTAAAGAGAAAACTTACCAAGATTATTCGCGTGTCTATCGGGAAGCTCTCAGCTATGCCGAGGAAAAACTAAAAATTTGCTGTAGAAGCTTAGCGAATTTTACCATAAACCCCATTAGCCCAAGCTGATTAACCAACGTGGCCAGGCAAATAAACGTTAGATTGAGCTCAATTTTGGCGCTCGATTGAGACCTAGATTGTTTTTTGCGCTTCTTGGCAATATTCAAATCCAACACATACTGTTGTTTCCTATATCGCATATGAACCAATTTGAAGATGGTGCCACCGCAAATTACCAGTGATAGAAGTGGATACACCTGGCTGGTGAGGCGAATCACGTCGAGGGTAAAGTCCATTTCCTGTGGAGAGTTGATCATTTGCAAAAATCAAATTTTCCCTACCCCATACGTCGCCGGGTTCGGGACCGCATAGTTCCCGACTTTTATCAAAATATTCGAAACTATTAAAGCCTGATAGGTCAGGCCGAAGCTGACGATGAAAATCAAAATGATGGCTAGTTGAATGTTGCGTGTACGCCAGAGCTAAATGGAGTTTTTGCAGCTTCTGGGCAGCCATTTCGCCTCCAGACCTCGGAATTGTTTTTATTTGTTTAAATTGAAGGAATACGTTTAGTATCTTCCATTTAAACTTTGTGCGGGCTAATTTCAGCTGGTCGAAAATCAGGATGTCGACATTTTGTCAAAGTAAAAAAATTGGTACAAGTAGGATAAGCGGGGGAAATTTTAGGCGGGGGAAACCAATTTTTTCCTGGTCGGCCCTGGTGGGGATTGTAATCAAATATAAAGTGTTTTCACATTGTTTTTAGCAAAATTTAAGCCTATTTGAATCCGAAAAATTTTTTAAAAAGTTAGAAAAACGCTTGAAAAAGTCGAAAATTTCGTCATTTTTGGGCCGAAAAAAGTGATTTTTAGACCTAAAATTAAATTTTTTAATTAAGTTTTGTAAAGTTTTTATGTTTAGGAATAGCTATAAACAATTTAGAAACATTTCCATTATTTATATAAAAAAATAGGCTTGAGCGGAAAAAAGTTCGGTTCCCCCCCGCCTAAAATTTTCCCCCCCGCTTATCCTCCTTGTACCAAAAAATTTTCTCAAAATGATTTTTGTCGGTATTCAATCCAGCTGATTTTCATTTTTTTCGCAAAAATGGAAGATACTTGGAAAATCGAAATATCGGATTTTTATAAACTTTAAAAGTGGAATGCCGACGACTTGCAGTTTACGGAACACGACTTGAACATTGTGATTTTCGACATTCTGTTGTAAAATTCGTTGGCTTATATGAACTGCGCACCCGGCCCATACCACCCAAGTCTCGCAGTAACAAACCACAAGCCTTGCCAGAAATACCCCTCACCTGCTGGTGTCTGATCGGCAACCACACGATGGTAAATCGATTCAAATGCATCAAAATCACGCTCAAATTTTGGGCGTGAAAAGCGGCGTTTTGCCAGTGGTAGAGGAGACGAGCAGGGGGGAACCAGTTCTGGATACCCGGGTAGAAATCGGCGACGAACTCGAGCTCACAAAGTTTCACGGTGACGAAGGCGTTCACGTATGTGGCGAGGTACTGAACGTGTAGTATTTGGGTCTGTGGTTCTATACCGGCAGCGAGGATTTTTCCAGGAATCGGGGATTTTTCCGGGAATCGGGGATTTTTCCCGGAATCGGGGATTTTTGGGCAGGGATCACCGGAATCGGGGATTTTTGACGGAATAGGGGATTTTTCCCGGAATCGAGGATTTTTCCCGGGATCGGGGATTTTTAAAAACGGGAAAATTGGCCGAATTTTGGGGCAGTCGAAATCGGGCGCCGTGACACTTGCGCCTGACATTTGCGCCGCGATACCGAGATTCAGCTACTTGAAGATGCAATTTTTCGCGCAGAGTATTCTGGTTAAAGAAACGATAGAAAGATGGTTTTGCGCTAGGAATCACTCGATTTGGAGGGAAGGTAATTGCTACTGCTTCCGCTCTGCGACTAGAAAAAGGTTTCGTGCCACCCGGGGCCTAGTCGCTTCGGATGGGTGCGAGCTCGTACAGGGTTTCGAGATCGGGGCGCCCGAGGCGCGCGTAGCGGCCAGGCGCCCCGATTTCGAAAGAGTGGAGCGGCAGCCCATCCGAAGCGACGGCCCACCTTGCCTGACGCCTTTTAGGAGCGCTCCGAATTCGCCTTACTCACTTTCTGTCAGACTTACATACATTAATTCATACAAAATTCGCGCGAAATACCAAATTCGCTACAGTTTAAATCAATATACGATCCGCGGCGCAAGTGCCGGGCGCAAGTGTCGCGGCGCAAGTGTCGCGGCGCAAGTGTCGCGGCGCAAGTGTCGCGGCGCGAATGTCGCGGCGCAAGTGTCTGGGAGCCCCCCAAATCGCCAATTCAAAAATCCCCGATTTCGACTGCCCCAAAATTCGGCCAATTTTCCCGTTTTTAAAAATCCCCGATCCCGGGAAAAATCCTCGATTCCGGGAAAAATCCCCTATTCCGTCAAAAATCCCCGATTCCGGTGATCCCTGCCCAAAAATTCCCTATTCCGGGAAAAATCCCCGATTCCCTGAAAAATCCCCGATTCCTGGAAAAATCCTCGCTGCCGGTATAGAACCGGGTATGTTCATTGTCATTAACGCGTCAATGGTACTCGGCTGGAGTGTGCAAAAAACCAGGCGATAACGCGTCCTCTGCGAACGACTTGAGTCGAGCTGCGTAAGCTGTACGACCGTAATTAGGCTACGTTTATACGTGAAAACCTTGGCTGCAAACCCCGCGCGCGTAAAAACAAATTACATTGCGTAATCACTGTATGTCCTAACCGATCCTCCTAAAAAAACTTACCACGCAAAGCACAAACAGGTACACCTTATAGAAAGAACCGGAAATCATAGACGGCGTTCGTATTATACAGAAAATCACTGCGATAAGTAGAATTAGAGAAGGTATCCCATAACTCATATAGATGATGAAGTAGTGCAGCATTATACAGAGTATTATACAGAATATTGTGGACCTAACAATGCGGCCTTCGACTCGAACCCCCGAAACGCCCACGACCCCAAAAGACAAATGCTGTTTCCACCTGCAATTGTTCGAACCTGTAATTAGACAGATACGACCACTTTAACCTGCTGACAAACCGCTGGAACGCACGTGTTTTCTCAAAAAAAAATCGATTAATAGTTAGCATTTAAACGAAAAAATTGCCCACAAGCCCACTTTGACCTGCTCGAAGCCGCTGGAACGCACGTTTTTTTTGACAAAAATGGATTGCTGGTTAGGATTCAAATAAGGAAAAATAGTGGACTAATTGAAGACGACAAAATAATCTTTTCTCATAAAAAAATTTTCTTGATTTATTTAAGTAACCAGTGGAAAATGACCGCTTCGCGGCCCTTTTCCACTGGCCCCCGTCTAGGAACCATATAATCCCCTTCCGTTTTTCAAGCCTGCGGCGCAAAAGAGCCTGACTCTAGAGCCATTCTCTGGCCTGCGGCGCTAGCTACTGGTTTTTCTTCAGCATTTGGCCTGCGGCGCGAGAGCCCAGGCCAAGGACCTTTTCTTTGGCCTGCGGCGCTAGAACCCGGGCCAAGGACCTATTCTTTGGCCTGCGGCGCTAGAGCGAGGGATTGGCCTAAATTTCGGATACCGAGAGCCTCGAAATATGCTTTGTTGTTGAACTATCAAAAAGCAAAAAGGTACATTTGCTGAGGATCCGAACCCTGGACCATGTGCGTGGTAGACCGGGCGTCAAGCCACTATACCAAAGGGGGCATGGGGACGGGAGGCGGAAAGGCCTCTTCGGTCCTGGGGGCGGGGTTCAACCCGGGCGGGAGGACTTCTAGTAATTTCGCAAAATAGCTTTTTTTAGTTTGAATGCGCCGAAAGTTTTAATAAGATGCGCGTGATCCCCACTATCGAATACATAAGTGATCCAAATTTCAGCCCGAAATTCCATCAGGCCTTCGAGTTATGGCCCGGACACCATGGCTCGTAACCCATTTTGTTAAGGATTTTCACCATTTTGCTTGTAAAATTGTTAAATGGAGGAGATTCGAAAAACAAAAAAATGCGTGTCTGGCAAATGTGTTTCTCCACCTCCATGCCAAAAATCAGCTCTGAATTCGGCCTGACGGTCGAGAAATCGTCATTACAGAAAACAAACATACTTTTCTCGCTTATAGGATAGGATTCGATAAAATGTATCTGTTGTGGAACACAGGTCCT